GCATCATAGGAGGTACTGAAACTAGAGCTCCTATTAGGTTTCCGGTGGTCAAAGAGGCCTGCGTTCAGAGTTGCTGGTTGTCAACTAAGTAACGAAGGGCCCTATTCTTACGTTCTTCCTCCTATAAGGCTAGAGCAGGCATGTGCTATCAATTAGGGCACACTGCTGTTCAGTTGTTTCAGTTGTGTCTGACGATCTTTAGGGTTTTCTTGCCAAAGATACTGAAGTGGTTCTGCCATTTCCTTCTCTAGCTCTTTTTACAGATGAAGAACTGAGATAAACAGGGTTAAGTGACTTGCCCAGGGTCACACAGCTAGTCTGAAGCCCAGTACTCTATTCACCACACCACTGCCCCAAGAGGACAATTAACAGGGCCTAAAAGAGAAAACTCCAGTGGGGAAGAACAAAATGGTTCAAGTTGTTACCCGAGAAGACAGAATGCTGTTCTTGGTCAACCCAAACTTCAGAGGGTAACAACTATAAGGGTTTAAGGAGGAGTTGGGGAAGATACATTCCAAAGCTAGTTATGAAGGTTGGGAGGTTCTTAAGCACAAAGTAAGTCAAAGGAAATGTCATTGGGCATTGTTGAAATGATGGCATGTTTTTAAAAACTTCTTTATCCAAGACAGTGTTGGTGGCAGACTAGTTAGCAACTCTGCCCTGCTGCATCGGCATCACTGTGGGCAGAAGTAGTCTCCTTTACCAAATGTTCAATTTAGAACCACAGAGTGGCAATTTCTTTCACTCCTTATGCAGGGAGATAGGTCATTCCTCCACGTCTCATAATTACGTGGGTCATCTGAGCAACGCATTCTTTCTGATAAGCTGTCTCCAGGACAGAAAGAGTTAATGTGTGGCACAGGTGGCATTGAGCAAAAAACGGCCACTGGGGGGCAGCTGAGAGGCTGGCAGGTGCTTCATGGATGGTTGTAGACTTACACCAGCTGTTAGCTGGATAAGACTTAAGACGGAGCTCCCAGAAGGGCAAAAGGAGTTCAAGTTAAAAATAATTTGAAAGTTGAAAGTTGAAAGCACAGGGATTTAACCTAGCCAGGCTAGGTTAACACTGTCACAAACACATTACTCACTTTATCACGGACCTAGAGGTCTAAAGTCAAGGAAAGTAGTAGACAAATATGAGGATGGATATGGGAGAGGGGTTCAGGTAAATTTCCAACAGAGTACTATAAAAAGGTAGATGAAGGGTGCATGCAGAATGACCTACTGACTCCAATATTATGATTTTCTTAGAGCAGGCACTCCAAAAGACAACTGTTACTTGCCTTTTTATTTTTTTTTTAAGATCAATTGAGGTGGCAATGGATGAATTGTATCCATTTTTAGATTCATATAATTTGGCAGCTAATTATCCTAGCTGCTCAAGAGATTACATGAAAGTCATAGGAATGGAAGGGGAAATGATCATTAAGGCCAATAGTATGTCATACATAGGACCAGGATATATCAGTCTGATGGAAATTAGAATGGGCTAGTTAAAGCTGCAGCAGGCCAGATTTTTGAGAGTCTAGTTGCAAGAATTGCCTTCAAGTGTACTTAAAAATTTTTTTATGATCCATTAGCAGTATCTTTCATTCTCTTAGCAGTCCAAAAAGATTTAGATAACACTAAAAAACAGCAAAATGAAATCCAGTGTTGTATTTTATTTCAAACATTTATTTCAAATTCATTTCAAACATTTAGTCTAAGAGAGGAAGTATGGCATATTGAATACATAGTTGGCCTTGAAGTCAGGATCCTGCTTCTGACACATAATGGTTGTGAATATGGCTGGTAAATCACTTAACCTCTTAGTGTCCTAAGTAACTCTTTAAGAAAATAAGTTAAAGAAAATTTGCTGACATATATAAGTCTAGACCAAACAATGAGTATTTAAATATTCAGAGTGAAGGGACAGCTAGGTGATACAACAGATAGATTACCGGCCCTGGAGTCAGGAGGACTTGAGTTCAAATCCAGCCTCAGACATTTGACACTTACTAGCTGTGTGACCCTGGGCAAGTCACTTAACCCTGATTTCCTCTCCAAAAAAAAAAAAAGAATATTGAATAAGTGTTAAAAGAGTTGACACCCTAAATCAGATAAAACTATGCATTTAAAAGAAAAATATGTACAGGTATACGGGAGAAAATTATATACCATAACCAATGGTAGCTTTCTGTAATTCTAAGTATATTCTGACATTTATTTAGCTAACAAGTCTCTTATAAAGAACAGTCTAGTTTTTAATCTTTTTAAAAGCCAGTCAAACCTTTCAAACCTCCACCTGACTCTGCTGAACTCATGTAATCTACATATCCCAAATGGCCACTTAGGATATTAAAAAAATTAACGGTGTTGAGGGAAATAACCCATACAATTTAAAAAATATATAAAATGGGAAATTTGGGCAAGGTTGTACATTCAACATTTTTGAGGTGATTTAAAAAATATGTTCAATGAAATATACATAGCCAAAGGAATTAGAGGTGTTCAAAAAGTAAAACCTGCCATTACTACTTTTTTCCATGTAACTTTTGGTCACTGCTTGTAGAACCCCAGGGTGTCATGGAACACAGGTTGAAAACCACTGATTTATGATTGCTTTTTTTCCCCCCTTTCAGAGCAGTGTGAACAGAAATTTTCCCAAAGCAAGGTATTTGGCAAGGTCTTGCTGGCTCTGAAAAGAAAATGGCTTTGGGGAACAAAAGGTGGTCAGTACACCACATGTTGTTCTGTTTATACGCCTGAGTCATGTGTCTACTCCTATTTATTTTAAATGGCTAGCTAATTTATCCTAATACACTGGTTTCCATCTATTAGACTGTCACATGAGCAAAGTAATGGACCTTTCTTAACACCCCTAGGCTCCTGTTTTGGATGACACAGTCCTTCTACAGTTTAGTAAAGTCATTTTCTCCAGAACATTTAAAACATTTCAGTGACATTATCAATATTTGGTCTCTACAGTTACAGGAAAGCTGAAAACAGATACTTAAGATTATTGAGTTTTGGGTTGAATTTTGCAGGCACTTTGTCTGAGGGAGGTGGGAGGTGTCTGAATTGCACTAATAAATACTACCATTCTTCATCTTGGTTTCGTACTTTTCTCCAGCAACAGAAATCTAATTTTTTTTTTTTTTGCATCCTCACTTAGAAACTTTTTCACCTCTTCTAGTTGTTCAAGATATTCAGGAGATCAGAAGCAGAATTCCAGTAAAGATCACTGACTGAGAACTGGGAAGGATCTCAGAGGTTATCTGATGAGGAAACTGAGATCCAGAGGGGTTGTGTGACCTTCCCCAATAAGTGGCAGATTCAGAATTTGAACGCAGTTCCTTTGATTCCAGATTCAGGACACTTTCCAATGCATTCCTGCTGCCTTTCACAGAACTTCAGCTTTTTTCATTTGTTAGTCATCATGCACTTTCAAAAGTATGTCGTAACAGCATTGCTAAGTATTTTCACAATACATTCATAAGCTATTATCCTTACTTTTCAAAAGTGTAGTGGTCACATGGTAAAAAAAAAGTTTAGTACACAATACAATTTCTGGTGGTGTCCAATGCCTGTAGCTACCCTGGGAGATATGTTTGATTTGGTCCACTTCATTGGTGCATAAGGGACTTCAAAGGATCATATACTTAAGAGATGGAAAGATCCTTAAAGGTCAACTTGTCCAAACCTCTCATTTAACACAGGAGAAAAACGAAGCCCAAAGAAATGAAGTGACTCGTTTTCACCCCCTCCCTTCTTAATCTCAACATTTTTTCCCCAATTAACAAGTATTTATTTTTTCTCAACCACCCATTGCCAACCCCACTGAATTTAAAGCAAAAGAAAACCCTTGCAACAGATATGCACAATCAAGTAAAGCAAATTCCTACACTGGCTATGCCCCACAATGGACCCTCTACTTCTTCATTCTGAGTCCATCACTCCTGTCCGAAGGTGGGTAGTATGCCTCTCTGGTCATCTGGAAATAGTGGTTTGTCACTGATTCACGGCACTCAAATCTTTCAAAGTCGTTTTTCTTTACCACGTTGTTCTTACTGCATAAATTGTCCTGGTTTTGCTCAGGTTAAGTGATTTGTCCAAGGTCACAAAGGTACTGAGCAGCAGAGGCTGGATTCGAACCCGGTTCGTCTTCCTTCCACGATGGTCGCACATCTTCATACATCCTTGTAGTCTAACGAATACCCTAAGTCACTTTGTTTACATTCCCTGATTCCTTCCAAGTCAGCTGTGGGCTTTCACTCTGTTCCTCTGGGCTCCTTCCTTCAGGCACTCGTGGAGCCCTTCGAAGTCCCTTCCGTCAGCATCCTACTGAAAAAAATAACCAATCATTAAGCGCCTACTGTGTGCCAGACAAGGGGGATAAAGGTGCGAAGAAGCAAACAATCCCTACTAAGATGAAATTCAGATAATACTGGTTGAAGGTCTTGGCTCCTTTCCCCAGATATCAATCCCAAAGACTCTAACCCATTCCGTTTCGACCCCCCAGAAAACCAATCACATTTTCAAAGTCCTTGTGGCCCTCTCAAGCGGTTCTCCGTTTCTCTGGGGCCGCCGCTCTCCCTCTGTGTCAGCTCTGGCTCCCAGCTCCTCCCCCTTCTCCCTCCCTCGGCCACAGAGTGTGTCCGTCGGAGAGACAGAGCGCAGCGTGACTTCGTGGCCCCACTTCCGGCTCCGCGGTGCCTCCCAAAAGCCCGTCCATCTCCCCGCCTGGGAGTCTTCTTCAGGTTCTCCTTCACCTTCCCAGAGGCGAGGGCACCGGGAAGCGTCTGAGAAGGGTGAGTCGCGCCATCCGCGCTCGAGCTTTCAGGCGTCGCCTGACGGAAGCCGAGAGGGAGCTGTGGGGCCGGACGTGGGAGTGTGAGAGGATTGGGGCCGGCGCGGGGGCGGAAGGTTTATGGAGAGGCACCGCCTGGAGCAAGTCCGGAAGTGGGGGGTGAAAGTAGGGAAAGGTGGAAACCGCCGCCTCCACCGCTGCCGCTGCCGCCGCCGCTGGGGGCCAGTGTGAGGTGCCAGGCGGAGGAGTTCAAGTTCGTGCTGCGTGGCCCCGAGTGTGTGAGTGTCAGCCGAGGGCGGGGCCTCTGGGGATGGGTGGGAGGGAGCGGTAGCGGGGAGCGGGCCTGGTTCCGGCTCTGAGGTCCGGCTTCGGCTGCGTACCGCTCCGGCCGCTCAGGTGACCAGTGCCTCAGGCCGGGCAGCAGAGGCGGGCCCTGGGACCGGGTGTCTGGCGGGCTCGGAGGCCGCCCGCGAGGGGAGCGCGCTTTCCGAGCCGAGCGAGCCCCGGCTGCCCCCTCCCCGGGAGGGTCCCCAGACGCGTGTCGGAGCTTGTGGCCGGCGGCTGCTCGGCCGAGCCCTCTAAAGATGCCCCCCGCGGCCCTTCTGGCTCGATCCCTTCTCACGTTACCTCTGCTTCTGTCCCTTTAGCTTCTGACAGCGGCAGCGTCACCGGGCCTTGCACGATGCTGGAGTCCTATGTGACTCCTATTTTAATGAGTTATGTGAATCGCTACATCAAGAACCTGAAGCCGTCAGATCTACAGCTCTCACTCTGGGGAGGAGATGTGGTTCTCAGCAAGCTCGAATTAAAGCTGGATGTACTGGAACAGGTAAGTAATGAACTGGGAATCTATTTTCAGTCTTTCTATTAATCATTCCTGATGGTTTTCTACTGTTTTGTAATGAGTCCTGCTAACTTCTCACCCACCTCCCCCTTTAACATTTTCCAGACATCAAGAGAAAATGGAGACCTTAATTTTAACAGGACATTTTTGTGGACGTTTATCAGTGATAATTTATTAGAGTATAGTTACAAAAATATGACAGCTTAATGCTTTAAAATTTAAATACAATTTTATGATTAATTTTAAGATAAAATTTAATAAATTATATTTTATTTTGACATTTGTTTAAAAAAATTTTGGGTTCCAAATTCTCTCCCTCACTCGAGCTTCTCTCCCACCTATTGAGAAGGCAAACAGTTTGATATCAGTTATACATGTGAAGCCATGCAAAACATCAAATAACTAATACTTTAATGAAATTTAATTTGAATATTTTAATACTTAGTACTTTTAATAATTTAGTGCTTTAATAAAAAATGGTAAAGACCAACACTTACATTTACTTTCATTGCCATGGTTCAGTCTGCAACCTAGCAACAGCTGAAAGGGAAGGTCTTTTAACCAAAATAATCCATTAGAGTTGCACCTTTCATTCTTTGCAAACCATAAAGGCAGCATGTTTAGAGAGAGGGAAGAAAGTTGTGCTTTTTATCTGTCTGAGATATGGTGTGCTCCATCTCTTTTGCAAGGAGAGGGCATTAAGGAAGTATCTAGAGTAAAGACAGAGAAGCTGGACATCTATCTAAGCCACTCTTCATTTTATTTATGTTACTGAATATTCCCAGAATATCAAACATATAGATAAATGAAATATACAAGTACACTCTAGTTGATAAATCAGTGATTTTCAGATTATCCATGTCACTGCTTCCCTGATTTTGGGAAACGTTAACTGTGTAGAATAAGAGTTAGGTTAGTGTGTTGATTTTAAAAGCCATTACTGATACTTTACTTATTCTTTGCTTGTCTTCAATAAAGAAGTCAATAATCAGATTGAAAGAGAATAAAAGATTACAATAATTCGTATTTATATAGCACTTTAAAATTTACAAGGTGTTTTCCTCAAATTTCTGTGATGTAGGTAATGTATTATTCCTATTTTACAGAACGAAGATTATCAGGGTAAAATGATTTGCTCATCTCATAGCTAATAAGTGTCATAATCTGGCTATGAATCCAATGCTTGTTATTTTTGTAATTAATGTACACTAAGGCATCTATTAACCAAGAGCCTGTTATAGTCACATATTTTATTGTCAAAAATTTGATTACCAGAGTTAGAAATAGTGTAGGTGGCATGGGGCTAATTCCTGGGATGTGATTTCCTTCTCTTCTTTAGCTCATAAAAACATTTCTTTCTCTCTAGGTGATATAGGTTTTAGCTTCCTGGTTTTCTTGGCTCACATGGGATTTTTCTGTATTTTTTGAGATGGATCTCCATTTCTTATAGGTTCATTTTAGGCATCACCTTCACAAAGTGTGTTCTGATCTCATTTGCACAGACATAAGTAAGCAGTTCTGAGCAGCCCAGTTTAGGAAAGATATTGTTATGTTGGATGGTGTCCAAAGCAACATGATTGGAATTATGAAGTGTCTTGAGTTCATACCATGTAATGATCACCTAAAAGAATTGAGGATGTTTAACTTGCAGAAGGAAAAGTTGGGTGAACATAATAGCTGTCTAATTATTTGAAAATCAGTCATGTGTAAATGGTATAGACTTGTTCTGTTTGGCTTCAGAGAGGAGAACTAGGAAAAGTGGGTGGAAGTTGCAAAGAGGCAAATTTTGAGAGAAAGAGAAAGAGGCATAATATATAGAAGCATAGAAAGTAATAGTTTCATTGTATTTTACCCTGGTCAGAATTGGTCTGGATTATTGCATTTTATTCTAATTGGCTATATTTTAGGGAGCTTATTAACAAACTGGAAGAGGGTGATCAGGATGATGAGGTGCCTGTAGATCAGCAATGTTGCTTGAGGATTAATTAGATTAAGAACATTTAGTTGGGAGGAAAGAGTTTTCTCCAGAGGAGACAAAATAGCTTTCTTTAACCACTTCAAGGGTTCTTATGTGGAATAAGAATGAAAATTTGTTTTGGTTGGGCCCAGATGACAGATCTAGAGAAGTAGTCTATAGAAATTGGAGAGAGGCAAATATGGCTAAATATAAAGAAAACTTCCTAGGAGTTAGAGCTCTCTAAAAGTGGAAGGGGATGCCTTGTGAGATAAGCACTAGAGGTCTTCATGTGGCTGTTGGATGCCAGATTTTTGGGGAATGCTATGTATTGAAGATGTTGTATAGGTTGTACTAAATGGCCTCATAGATACTTTTTTTTTCTTTTCTTTTTTGATGAGGCAGTCGGGGTTAAGTGACTTGCCCAGAGCCCAACAGCTAGTAAGTGTCATGTGTCTGAGGCTGAATTTGAACTCAGGTCCTCCTGACTCCAAGGCCTGAGCTCTATCTACTGCACCACCTAGCTGCCCCCCTTATAGATACTTTCTATGTGAGATGTGAGTACTTTCTCTGAACTCTCCAATGTGTGATTTTTTGGATTCTTTTAAGTGACTTACCCAGAATCACACAGCTAGCTGAAATACATTTTCAAGTTTATTTCGCAGGGATTGTGAAACTGGATGAGTCTGGCCTTTTGTCAATACTTAACTTGCCAGTAAGAGAACCTGTTTTTTTAGAACTTTTGGTCTGGCTCCTTTATTGTTTAGTATTTGAATGCCTGTTCTGTGCTTTGTTCTTTACAGAATATAAATAATGAACCCAGTCCATACCAGTTGGTAACTTTTTATACTCTCTAAGTCTAATGGGATCTTAGATTTCAGACTGAAAGGGACCTCAAAAGTCATCCAGTCCAATCCCCTACATTTTGCTGATGAGGAAAGTGAGGCTTAAAAAAGTTCAAGTGTTTTGTCCAGGGTGCCCTGATAAGAGTCAGAGCCAAGATTTGAACCCAGGTCCTGTGACTCCATATCCCATGCTCTTTCTGTTTTACCATCAAGCCTCCTTTTCCCCTGAAGAGTAATGATTTTCTCTCTGTTGTTCTATTTTTAAAAGTAGTTACTATAGGTGAAATGAAATTCTCACTTCTCTGAATCATCTTTTTCAATATTTAAAATAATTAGTGACAACTTTTATTTGGACATAAAAACAGTGTTATTTATTTTGGACTCCTGTGCCATACTTGCAGTATGACAGCTGCAGTCATGGCTCTGAACTTGAAGTGTGTTCAAATTGTGCTCTTAACCCCTGTTTGCTCCTTGGAAAGTCAGAGAAAACCTGGCTGTGGCTGTGGCTTATATTAAGATGTCTCTCTCAGAAGTAGCTAGGGGCTGATATAGGAGTAATTGATTCCTGCTCTAATTTTTCTCATTGTTAATATAGTGTGTGTGTGTCTGTGTGTGTAATATCCAAATCTCTCTTATTTTGGAACCAATAATCCCAAATTGTGAATTATTCAAGTCTTTTTCTCCAGTACAATTCAACAGGTACTTACGAATATCATTATGTTCCCACTAGTGGGTCAGGTATCCTGAGGTTAATTTGACAAATATGATGCTAGTTTCCACATCCTGTAAGTAGTGGGAAGCCACTGGAAGTTTTTGAACTGAAAAATGACTTGGTGATGAAAATGTCTTTTGGTGGTTGATTATAGGATGAATTGGAGTGGGACCAGATTAAAGACCTGGAGACTAGTTAGGAGATAGTTTCAGTAACCCAGATAAGAAGTGTTAAGAACTAGGGTAATTGACCTGGGAATGGAGGAGAGAGCATATGGTGTAATAGAACATTGGTTTGGAAGTCAAGGGACTTGGGTGCTTGAACTTGCTCTGCTACTGTATGATGTTGGGGAAATCGAAACCTCTTTAACCCTCAGTTTTCTAATTGTAAACCAAAGAGATTTTACTGTGATCTTTAAAATCCATTCAAATTTTGAAATTCTATAATGTTTTTAATCCAAGGACTTTTGTGACTTACTGATGATTCAAGTATTTGATTTAAAAAAAATCTAGAGATGATTCCAGAGTTTTAGACTGGGTAGTTGAGGAAATGATTTACTATTGCTTCTTATTTTTTCTTATCAGAATAAAATCAGGACTCTACCTCCCCTTCCAACCAACCCCCCCCCCCCCAAAAACCAATCAGTTCCCTATAACCTCTTTGGAGAATAAATGGACAAAACACTGCTAGCAGTTGAAGCTAACATGAGGAACCAAAGGAATCCAGATACCAGGATACAGAACGATACCTGGGTAATCTGGAATAATAGATGGACTTGTTATGTTGAAAAAGTGTAAAAAGTGTATAAAAAGTTTTTGTTATTGTGTTCCTATGGTTCCTGGGTTTGTCTTGGCAGGTAGACTTCCAAGTATTTTATATTATCTACCATTATTTTAAGTGGAATTTATCTTTCTATCTCTTGCTGCTGAACTTGATTGGTAATGTATAGAAAGGCTGATGATTTAGATGGATTTATAGTATATCCTGCAATTTTGCTGAAGCTGTTAATTATTTCAACTAGTTTTTTAGTTGAGTCTATAGGATTCTTCAAGTATACCATCATATTGTTTGCAAATAGTGATAGTTTTGTTTCTTCATTGCCTCTCCCTATTCTAATTGCGTTAATTTCCTTTTCTTTTATTGCGTATTATTATTATTATTATTATTATTTTTATTTTTGGCTAACATTTCTAGTACAATATTGAATAACAGTGGTGATAATGGGCATCTTTGCTTCACCCCTGATCTTACTGGAAAAGCTTCTAGCTTAACATTACACATAATACTTGCTGATGGTTTTAGAAAGATACTGTTTATCATTTTTAAGAAAAACTTCATTTATTCCTGTGCTTTCTAATGTTTTTAGTTTTATGGATTTTTTAAGGCTAGGATTACAAAGTCAAACCTTTCCGTCACTGAGTAGCAGTGGTGAAAGTTTTTATGAAGTTCAAACATCGACTAGAATGGAGAATAG